TTAAAAAGTCCTGTAATGTATTCCAGTATTGATGTTATCTTACCATTTTTCACAATTGTGATGGCTCAAACCATGGCATATAGTTGAAAAGAATCATGCAAAGAAAGAAACAGATGAGCATATTCAGAAATACAGTGATTTTTCAGAATAAAAAATTCATGCTGCACTTTAACACAAGTTAGTACATGTTTCTGGTGTTCTTACCATGTTTTCCACTGACGGCTCAAACCATGGCATATAGTTGAAAAGAGACATGCAAAGAAAGAAACAGATGAACATATTCAGAAATACAGTTATTTTCTAGAATAAAAAAAAGATTCATGTTGCAGTTTAACACATTAATACAGTTTTTTTTTTCGTGTTGTCACATGATCTGTCTTACCATATTCACCTTTGTGACGGCTCAAACCGTGTCATGTTGTTTGAAAGAGTCATGCAAGGTACAAAACAGAATAACATGTTCAGAAATACAATGATTTTCCGGAATTAAAAATTCATGCTGCACTTTAACAAAAGTTACCTAATTTTTTTTATGTATTACCATGTTTGCCATTGTGACGGCTCAAACCGTGGCATGGAAAGGGTTAGGTCATGCAAAAAAAAAAGAAGAAAGAAACAGATGAACATTTCAGAAATAGTGACATTTTCCACATATAAGATTCATGCCACACTTTAACACAAGTTATAGTTTTTAATATATCCACATTCTACACATTCAGATTTTTTGTACATTCAAACTTAGCTAACCTTTCATGTCTTTCTTGCCACTCTTACCATTCATGGTAGTGACATGAAGATGGAAAGAAACAAACATTTTTAAGATTATATTCAGAAAAATCTTTTTGTGGAATCAACTGGAACAAGTCGATGATTTGCTGTATTAATGTATGTTTGTAGAGATTTACCTTCATAAATAGACATATCTTTGTTCGTCCTAATCAAACACGATCTGAAGTGACTACAATACTGCTGTTCAAGTCCATGACATCATAAAAGCAGCAGAATGTTTACTGTAACGCGCAACTGAAGTCAAGCCAGTATTCTATTTGACCTGTAACCATAGCGACGGTGACTAAATATCAAAGACTGCGACGTCCAAAACTACAAAGTCTTGTCACATTTGACACAGTCGAGGCGTGATTTTCTTAGTTAACTGACTGCAGCTTTTATACCTCAGTGAGTCGCAATAAGCCATAAACATACAGCCTATGATTGGTAAATGCCTGCACAATGTTCATTTATTTCAGTATAAACATGAAAACAGTATAGACACAAGTCCTTAAAGCTCCAATTATAAGTTCAGAATTGTTATAACCAGTAAAATACCACTCATTTCAGTTAATCGCGATCCCACAAAGTTCCATTATAATCAGTGAAGCGGTCTACACTGCAATGAATCAATTATTTACATTGTCTAAACTGTTATAATGAGATATTTGCGAGCATGCACTACTCAGCATTGAAACAAAAACTCTGCGTTTTGATCAAAGTCGATTCTGACTAACTTAAATGCTGCAATTGGCTATTGCATTCAAGAAATCGTTGTAAATAGAAACATTTAAAGCGCTCAACTAGGGCTGGCTTTCATTTGAGGGTGTTTAGCATCCTTTAGCACCCCTGTAGAACCAGGCCTGTTTACATTTAACAGAAAGGCTTTTGTTTTCCTCCTCAACAAATTCCAAATAATGTTTGTTATTCTCCTTTGCTGCCACAAGCATATGCTGCCATATACTCAACACGTGTTCATCGCGCAGCCCTTTAGTTCAGGTGTCACATGCAAACAGTTGTATGGATAAAGTGAATTCAATTTTGCAAAAGTACAGCCCAGTCTTGATAAACTAATGTTAAACTATCATTTCAATGACAACGAAACTCCATTACAAAGGTCATTATTTTTCATCAGTCATTCATGGTTCTGTGGTGAAATAAAGTGTTAAAGGAATAGTTCACCCAAAAATTAAAAAAAATCTGTCTTCATGTAGGCTTTGTCTTTCAAGATTGAATATGCCATTTGTAAAATGCCTTACAAATTTGAATTGAGATTTGAAATCTACAGCAGAGAGGAATGAATTAGAGGTTATTCATGCAACAACAAAAACAAAAAGTCAAAGATTTAGAACACTTGGAATATAATACACACATTATATGGAACACTTTTGTATTTTATTTTTTTTTACCTTTGTTAAATAGGTTGCCTTTATCCGAAAGCAAAATGTGAACATTCGGCAAAATACCTGTTTTTGTGTTCCACAGAAAATCATTCAGGTCAATCTGATAAACATGAAAAGTTTAGACATTTTTAATAGTGGCTTGTACTGCCCGGACAGTTTAGTTTAGCTAAAGACGTGATGCTAACGTTTAGCTAAACAATGCCTATATGTCTCTCACTTCATGTCAGTTCTGGGTTTTCCCCAATAGTTTTTCTCTCTTTCTCTCTCTCTCTTTCTGTGTTCCCTTGAATCTATTGTCCAGGTTGAAGTGTGTCTGGGGTTGTAAAGGCTTGCTTTTGCCACAGTTCTTTGAGAATTATTTAAGGCATAAGAGTTACTGTGAGATAAATATTTGATGCATAGAACCTGCGAGTCTGTGCTCAAGCCCAGAGCAAATACATCAGAGGCTAACAATACACTCTCTCTCACACACACACACATACACACACTTGAAACAAGACTATAAACTCATTGTACATTTCTTTTTTTACTAAAATAAACTTTTAGCATACAGACAGAGATCATTTCAGTAGCTATAGAGGTTTTAGTGTCTCAGTGTTGCTCAACACTTTCAAACGGGTCTCATGCATTTCTAAAGCACATTTAAAGTGACCACCTATTGTGTATTGTGAGAAACAAAGATAGAGTCGAATACAATAGTTTGGAGGAGGTTTATGAATTTTAGTAAATGTATCACATTACATCAGAGCCAGAACATGACAGATAAATGAAGTGTTTGGCTCCCAGAACCACGTTAGTACAGAGACAACTGGCATCAATGAGAGAATTTGTGTTTAGGCAGACTTTTGTATTATGCGTTTGTCTTTTTAACTGCCGTTTTTTTCCATCTCTCATGTGTAAATGTACCATAAAAGTAGTCAATGCAACTTGTGCACTATATTAAAAGTCTTCTGAAACCATAGTTACGTATTTACTAGCTGATGAGCTGTTACCTCAAGAACCATTATGACCAGATCGCATCAGAGAGTCGAAATTGAGAACCAAATCAATCAAATTTGTGAACAAATCATTCTTTTAAACAGGTTCTTTTTTGAACAAATGAAATCTGGTCCTTTTTTAAATTGCTTTTTTAAATCCGTTCTTTATTTTAACAAATTGTCCAAACAATTATTTTTGTACAGATTTTTAACAAATCATTCTTCTGAACCGGTTCTTTTTCACCAAATCTTTCTTTGACAAGATGATTCTTTTAAACTACTAGAACCATTTATTTTTTTCTTTTAGTCGTTCCCTTAAACTGGTTCTTTTTTCGCTACATAATTCTTTAAAACAAACTTTTTAACAAATCTTTTAAATCTGATCCTTTTTTTGTATGTATCACTTTAGAATCAGTTGTTTCTTTTGAACATTTTTTTCCCTTAATTCCTTAAATTCCTGGTAGTTTATTCTTAACAAATCATTCTTTTGAATCAGATCGGTTTTATACAAATCACTCTCTTGAACGGCTTCTTTTTTTAGATAATTCTTTTGCACCAGTTCCTTTTTTAACAAATTTTTTTTTAATTGGTTATTTAAATTGGTTAAATTGGCAAAAAAAGACAAATCTACAAATAGTAGCAACTGTTGTTTTTTTTTTAAATAAATAATTCTTTAACTAATCTTAAGTTTCTTTAAAATAAAAACTGTAAAAATGCATATAATGCATTTTTAAGTGTATCTTAAGTGTCCATAATTTTTACAGCCACTGTAGACCTCTATGTGAGTGCAAAGGCAGATATACAGACACATATGTAGGTTTTTTCGCATTCTTGTTTTTTACTCCGTTAAATGCGAGTTGTATGTTTTATTTCCCATACTGTTGAGGTTATGCTTTCTGTTGGGTGTGGTGAGGATGTTTTATTAGCACATGGAGAGTCCTCCCTCCTGAGACAACTGCTAATGTCAAACATCTGCACATGCTCAGCTTGGACAACAGGCTATAAAGAAAGAAAGGAGAGAAGAAATGAGGAAGGAGCTTAGAACATATGAAGGGGAATTTGGAAAGAGAGCAAGAAACACAGAGCTTTGTGTTCTGAAGTTTTCACTGCATTTCATGAACAATTTAGCCTGATAACTTTAAAGTGATTAGAGACAAACCAACCGGATGTTATCTATTGGCTGCTGGTGACAATTGCTGGCATGTTATCAGTTTCAACTGCAATCATTATAAAAATCAGTTTAGGCTGAGTTCTTGTTGTCAAGAGAGATTAAGAAGGTACAAGAGTTGTTACGCAAAGGCACGTGTCTCTCTGCTTTCGCACATTTGTCCGTTTCGTCATCGAGCAGTCATGGCCTGAAGTGATTTAACTGGCCCAGACAAAATGTTGGAAACCCAAACTGAACTTCTGAAGCCTTTATATTTGGCATTTTGCACAAATAGTAAGACTCCTCATAAAGTATATCAACAAATATTTCTAGAGCAGCCATGCAGAAATACAATGGTCAATACAGGTCAATTTCAGCACATGAATAAAGTCTCTTAATGCCAACGCTGCACTTTAAACTGGGACAGGGATAAAAAAATCCACAAAAAAAAAGAAAAAAGAAACATTTCACAAAAGCCCCACTTTCCCAAGATACACAATACAATCAATTCAGGGATGGATCTGGCAGGAAGTAATAATGGATTCCATCTGGATGCCCTCGCTGGATTGATCTTAAAAGAGTCCAGAAATAAAACAGTACAGATGAGTCACAAATGCAGTTCAAATAAAACCATATCTCAATCCACCACGGCACTTTCCACTAAAATCAGTTTCCTCCATGATTCCCAGTCGGAAAAGTGCCCACTCTCTGTCCATCTCTGGTTTGCAGTATGTTGTTTCAGGGTCTGTCTCCTTTTCCGTGTGTCTTGAAGTTAACCAGAGGACATTACCACTCTAATAAAACATGAACATTCAAAAAAGGTATGTGGAATTCTCACTTAAAGGGATAGTTAATCTAGAAAATAATAAAATGTTGTCATCATTTACTCATCCTCATGAGTAATTTCTAACCTGTAAGACTTTCTTGTTAAGGTACAACGAGGCTGGATTCAGGTGCGGGTTCAAATGGTGCTTTATTGTGCAGAGAATCACCGCGGGCAGTAAGCGCCTACGCGGACAGTTCGTGAGGTCGTGGAAACCCCAACCACACCGATGGGTGGAGAGCAGTGGCTGGAACACGCCGCAGCAGCGGCAGAGGAGACGGAGCCGGAGGGACAGCCCGTTAATCCGAGCGAGAGGCTGAGAAGCCCAACCACGAGACCGCGGAGTCCCAGGTTAGGCGGATGCCGGAGGTAGCCCACGGTTCCTGAACGCACAGAGAGGTGCGGGACACAAAACAGACTGCTACGAGCACTGGAGCCTGGACGAGACAAGACAGAACTGGTGAGCGATCATACACTGACAGTAAGAGCAAGGGAAATAATCACAACGAACTGACAACATACAGAGAAACACGAGGAGCTATAAGGGGAAGCTAATGAGATGACCAGAACCAGGTGTGAAACAAGGAGGGCGGGGACAACGATCATGCTGACATGCTCACGTGGCGAGCTGTCAAAACAACTCACGCACAACACACAAACACAGAGACAGGTGATCAGACCCGAGACCCGACATTTCTTTCTTCTGTGGAAAACAAAAGAAGATATTTTGAAAAATGTCCTATCTATCCATCTATATCTATCTATCTATCTATCTCCCGGACAATAGAATGACGCCATCAGTGCAGCAGAATGAGCGTGGGACAGTTTCTCTGACCTGGGCCAGGATCTTGAGGGTCATCTCCCACAGTGATGTCCACATTTAGTTCGATGACAGGGGGTCAGATATCCACACACACTCACAAATATACACATACTAAAGAAAGACAGGAAAGCAGGCAATAGTTGGAAAGGAAGCAGGGAGTGTTGGCTGTCACACTGTGCAGAACAGGGTTTCCTGCTTTTCCTGGACAACGTGACTTCAGTTTCATTCGTTCTACAGGAATGCAATCCAGATTCCTGTGAGCTCTTCGGCATCTGCCTATTTTCAGATGGGAGCTCAATTCTCACCTCTTGAATGAGTTTGATAAGACACATTCAGCGGCTCCAGTAATCTACCATAATTCCACATTTTACTCAACAGCTCCGTGTCGCTGTGTTTCTTTTTGGCTTGACACTTGTTTGTTTCCTTCTTTTTTTTAAGTATCCATTGATGATATCAATGTCACATTTGGCATCAGATGTGAGCACAGGCCTGGTCTTGGTCAGTCTGATCGCTGCTTGTTTGAACAGGCCCTTCGTTTTTGTTTGGACAGACAAGGGAGGAATTTAGAGGCCATTATGCATGTTGTTTTAGAGTATTTATAGATTTCAGAAGCTTTTGTCATGACAGTTGTCGAGAAGATGAGCCAGTGTAAGTTACGTTGCCATTTAAAAACAATTTGGGAGCTTTGGGCTCAGCTGTGCTCATTAATGTGCAATTTAGCAATCTGCTAATTATTTTTCAGCCATTTAAAGATTAAATGTCTTATTCTTTCACATGCACTATTTGTTACTGATGCTTTGATTTGTACAAACATCTAATCCAAAGTATTAAACTTCGGTATGCAACTCATCCTACAACATTTGTGCTATGAACACGAAAGATAGCTCAAATTGAGCAGGGTGTCCAGTCCTACTCCTGGAGGGCCAACGTCCTGCAGAGCTTAGCTCCAACCAGCTACAGCACACTTGCCTGGAAGTTTCTAGTGAGTCTGAAGACCTTAAGTGGTTCAGGTGTGTTTAGTTAAGGTCGGAACTCAACTCTGCAAGACAGTGGCCTTCCAGGAGCAGGTTTAGACACCCCTTTTCTATACGCTGCACTGGATCGCTCATCCCCCTAACAAAGTAATTGTGAATTATGAACACTGGGAAAATGCACAACAACTTAACAGAAGTGTCACTGCATGCAAACTGCAGTCTCGCAGACCCAGATTTCTCCACCCTTCCAGACTTCCTTACTGGAGTCAAGGGAAGCTCAACACTCTCTTCAACTAGAGGTGAAAAACATCCACGCAAAGCTAGAAACATATCCAGAGTGCAGATGCTACATTAACTGAGTTCATTCTTTGGCATCTGACAGTATAGTAGAATTTGCTACTAGGACTTTGCTACTAGGCATTTAATAGTGTGGTAGAATTTGCTGCTATGTTATATAATCAGTGTTGGGAGTAATGCGTTACAAAAGTAATGTATTACAGTAACGTATTACTTTTTCCTGTAACGCAGTAGTGTAAGGCATTACTAATACATTTTCAGTAATATTTTACTCGGTACATGTTCAGTAACGCTTGCGTTACAACAAACTTTTCGCCCGCAAGACATTAACAAATAAAAAATCCCGCAAGTAAGTTCTATTTCCTGTTCGTGGTTAGTGAATAGGCGCGTGTGATGTCATTAATCTCCCTCTCGCTGGTGGAACTTTTTACTTTGTAACGCGGAATGATTTCAGCCTCTGAGTAGATATTTACATGAATAAGTTCAAATTTTATAACTGTCAATTTTGATTAATCTGATTCAAAGATTTGACTGCATCACTGCTTAAAATTTGGCCAAAATTTGTCTGTGGATACAAATAATATGTAGGTAAATATTGCTGTTTTTAATATGTCTTGTTATTTTGGTACCAGTAAATAATTGTAATTAAATAATAATTAAGTAATTATTCAACTTTTTTCTTGTATGCATTTAGTGAAATTTTTATTATTTTTAATCATATTTTTACTTCCTGCATTAAAAGTTTTCAATTTACTGGTTGTTGGTCAAATATATAAATAACAACATTCATAAATTAACAACAAATTCTGTTCTTTTGAATTTGTTATTCATCAAAGAATTGTGAAAACAATGTACCACGGTTTGTTTACAGATATTAAGCAGCACAACTGTTTTGTACACTGATAATAGCAAAAAATATTTCTAGATAATAATTGAGCACCAAATCAGCATTTCTGAAGGATCATGTGACACTGAAGACTGGAATAATGGCTACTAAAATATTAACTATAAAATATATTTTAAAAAAGTTAAGAAAAAAAATAAATGCAGTTTTGGTGAGCATTGGAGACTTCTTTCAAAAACATTAAAACATTTTATCACCCCCTAAGCTTAGTGTACAGTAGTGTGTATATACACACAGTATGATCAAATGTCATCATATTTAGGTACAATTATTTTAGCTGCGATATTAACACCCAGCCCTATTACTAATATGCATGAGCATATCTCTTAAGCATTCCATGTGGAAGTCATCCTCCTTCCCAGTGGAATGCTAGTAACAGTGGCAGTTTGTGTAAACCATCCCCCCCGCTTGCCCCCATGGACTGAAATATAAACAAGGACACAGAAGGTCAAGTGTCTGACCATTTATGCCTGAACGGTGCCCAAGCCATGGCCCACGGCCACAGGAAGGGTTCACAGAAGGTCAAGTGTCTGACCATTTACCCACAACACGCTGTGCCTCATGATGCCTGAACGGTGCCCAAGCCATGGCCCACGGCCACAGGAAGGGTCTGTTTGTCCTCTTTTGGAGCCACTGAGTGAAGGAACATGTTCTCTTCTGTGTTTTCACAGGCGTGGCTGTGGAAGGAGGTGGCAGAACATACTCGCTATGAGGCAATCTCTTCTCAAAACCCCCGAGACTCTGAAAGAAAAGAAAAAAGGAGGAAGAAAAAGATGATTAGCCTTCTCAATGGTAATTCAAAACAGGTGCCTGAATGTGCTTTTGTGTGGTGCGAATGCACACGAATGCTGTATGTTTTAGTTTCATGTTATGTAAAAAAGCTAAGGGCTGGTGAATAGAAGGTTGCTGGTTCAAGCCCCATGAGGAATGAGTTATGAAATACTGTACCCCTAATTAAGACGCTTAACCCCAGGTTACTCCAGGATAAAGGAAAACACAATCTTATTGCTCAGAAGTTGCCCTTTCATAGCTCAGTTATATTTTAATATATAAACTTTTTCTCTGATATTTCTTCTCAGATGAAAAATACACTACTGGTCAAAAGTCTGGAATAATAACGTTTTTTAATAAAGGTCTCTTAAGGTCAACAAAGCTGCATTTATTTGATCAAAAATACAGTAAATACAGTAATACTGTGAAACATGTTTACAATTTAAAAGAACTGTTTTATATTTAAAAATATTTAAAAATGTAATTTATTTGTGTGGTGGCAAAGCTGCATTTTCAGCATCAATTCTACAGTCTTCAGTAATTTTGATTAAATGCAGCCTTGGTTCAAACTTTCAAACACATAAAAAAATCATCATTATACTGTGAAACATGTTTACAATTTAAAAGAACTGTTTTATATTTAAAAATGTAATTTATTTGTGTGGTGGCAAAGCTGCATTTTCAGCATCAATTCTTCAGTCTTCAGTAATTTTGATTAAATGCAGCCTTGGTTCAAACTTTCAAACACATAAAAAAATCATCATTATTCCAAACATTTGACTGGTTGTGAAAAAATAGACACAGATAAAGCAACTGTTAAGTAAAATAAGGATGCTATATTTTAATTAGGCCTTGGATGATAGATTATAGTGTCTTTTGCCCTTTATTTAATCTCATAGCTGTCTTTAAATAACAATTGAGATATTTGTATTTTTTTCTTTTACCTCCAGATTGTAATGAGTACAAGTTACTTTTGATAAATGCACACACTAAACAGCTGCTTACGTACTACACAGCCATTAAAAGCGCAAGCTTGTTAATTTTTCATTCATCTGTCCGCTTAAGAATAAAAACATCATCCACTCTGAAGCAGAAAACAGATGAGTTTTCCTGTGAGTTATGGTCACGGTAAGTGCCTGGAGCATCTTGCGTTACAAAACCACAGCCACAGGAATTAATTTACAGATTTGTTCTTTTCATTTAGTGCATCAATGATACATTCAAGAGACATATTGGCCATTTGTAACTGGAGTGGCTTCTTTGCAAAACGCAGAACAGCTCAGATTACGTGTGGCTCCATATGTGGAGTCTTGGCCATGCGGTTGGACTCTCCTCGCCCCGTGATGTTAAGAGGTCCTACTCCACCCACTGCTGCTGGCCAGAAACCGGACAGCCCAGGTGGATGTTGTATGCTTGAACCTATCGATCGTTTCACTTCCAAAAAGACAGAACAGAAAGAAGGAAATCAGTGTTGCGGTGTGTGTGAGAGTGTGTTTCTTCTCTGAGAGGTCAGGAAGGGGCTACAGCGTGAGGTTCACCCAAACTCCCCTCACCTCAAAAAGAGAGGGAAACAAAAAAATCTGGCTTGTGGGAGGGGGACATATGTTCTCCACTCTCTCCCCCATCTGGCCGAAATGTTTGACAAGTAATTTTGTGAGCAGTCCCCAAGAACACACAAAGCTGCTCACACAGCACTGTTTCCAGATGTTCTCTGTGCGGCGCCAACACACAGATACATGTGAATGATTCCCGCTCAGTCGCACTGAGGAGAAATTAAGTTTGTCTAGGGGATATGGGTTTGCATGAGAGTGTGCACATGTTTAGATGCATTGGTGCATGTTCGTGTGCGTGCTGGCTTGTTCAGTTTGCCTTCTGTTCTTCACTTCCCTCCTCTGTGTGTGTGTGTGTGTGTGTGTGTTGGTATTTTTGGGTGATTTAGGATTAAAGATGACTCACTGTATTACTCATTGATCCAGGGACACACAAATCCAGCATGTGTGACGTGATGTGCTTTCACAAGCTGATCAGCTAAACACAGTATAAAGTCTGCAGAGAAGTGAGAAGAAAGAACAGTTTGGTTAATACATCAAACATTTGGCATAGTTAAAATAACAAAATAGCAAATCAGACATGCAAACTTAATTTAATCAGGGATTTAAACTTTTCAGACCCAGGTACAGCCCCCTAATATACAGAAAAATTTAGATTTCACTGTAACACAAAAACAGTTTTAACTATTGAAGACCATTTCCACATAAAAAATAAATAGTTCTTGTAAGATTGTAATAAGTTCACATTGTGAAAAAGTCAAATCATGATATATAAAGCCACAAATATGACATATAAAAGCAGAATGAATCCAGCTTATGTCATCGTGTACAAATTAAAAATTTAAATATGGAATATTTTTTAAGGAAATCCTAAATTATTTATATATCTGCCATGAAGCACCTGTCTAACCCTCTGTGGACCAATGGATGAAAATCATAATGTTATTATGGAATAACATAAATAAAAGTTGTAATAACATAATCCATCACAGTTTCCACAAAAAAAAAATTAAGCAGCAACATTAAGCAGCAAACATTAAGCAGCAAAACCTGTTAAGAACACATCAATAATACGAACCATTATTAATTTAGTACTAATAATAATAATTGAGCGTAATCAGCATAATAGAATGATTTCTGAAGGATCATGTGACGCTTTATACTGGAGTAATGGCTGATGGAAATTCAGCTTTGCATCACAGAAATAAATAATATTTTAAAGGATATTAAAATAGAAACCATTATTTTATATAATATATTATAATATATTCAGAAAACTACCAGTGCAACCACAACATTTCTGAAGATTTTTTCAACTAAAAAAAACCTATATAAAATACATTTATCTCTTATACTATAAAACATATATGTGGACAACATGAAGGAGGTGGCCTTCACTGTAAGAAGATATGGGCGACAGAGAGAGAGAGAGAGAGCGAGAGAGAGAGATGTGGGGGGAGTGGAGAGGGGCCATATAAAACCCCTGGAGCACAAGCCATGCTTTATCCTCTGACCACTCATTTCTGTCTCAGGCACAGGAAACCCCTAAACTCTCTCAGCCTTGCCCCAGCGCCTGCATACACACTCTCACACACCTCAGCGTGCTCAAAGAGACGAAAATGGCTGTACGAAGAATGAATGAGCTCTGGAAAACGATGGCTCTGGCTTTAATGTTCGGTTTTCTTTTGCTTCACAGTAAGTTTATATGAAGTCTTTTGTAAACTCTACTTTAAGTTTTGTGCCTTACATGCAGTGTTTTATGATTACACACTCTTTTTATGTTCTTAGTTGATATTCTGTATCATCCATTTTCAAGCTTTTTTATTGTATGGAATCTATGGATTTATCTTTTTTTCTCATAATTTTTAAGGAAATCATTCAGTAAGTGGATACATTTTAAGTTGTGTAAAAGCATCACTCTTTTTGAATGCTAGTATTTAGGGTTTAAGTGGCTTTTATTCAATTTTACTCTAAAACAGTCTCACCTTGATTGATGTGACAGCCAGCAGTTTGTAGTGTTTACTCAGAGGAGACTGAGTTAATAGGTTAGCGGGAAAACTCAAACAAAGGGCTCTGGCTTGGAGTGGAAACATGCCGTTGATCGTAATTGCGGGCTATATCCTGCTCTCCCCGTCTGGGTGGAGCTGGCTGAAACATGGGTGTATATTTGTGTGTTTAGGGACTGAAGAGGTTGGAAAAGCCTGGAAACTGTCTGAGGAGTCTATTAAGCATCTTCATCCTGTTTTCTGTGACTACTTGTGGTGAAATTGTCCTTTTGAAAAGCAGGCATACGTGTGGATTTGTTGTAGGCTGAGAAGTGGACCACAGCGCTTGGTTCATGTTCTCTTGAAAGTAGACAGATGTTTTACATGATCAGCCACAGGGCTGAAGACAGTTGTGCGTAAAAGGCACTCTCCTTCCAGGGAGGTTACCGCATGTCCGTTATTTCAAAAAGGAGTAAAAAAAAGCTGGTTTGTAAGTGACGTCCTTGTGGGCAGGGCTGAGCTGTACGCCCTATTCCCTTTTCCCAAGAGGTGAGAGTAACACTGTTAAGTAGGTATAAGTGTGGGAAGGTTTGAACACGGAGCAGCTTCTCAAGAGTATGGTGTTGAACCGAACAAACATTTACCAGGAAACTAGTGCTGTTAAAATTGGAGGGAAAAAAAAAAAGGATTTTCTATAAGAAAAAGTTCTTACCTACAAAAAAAGAGACTTCCATAACAAACAAATCCTCAAACAGCGCATAATCAGTTTTCAATCTAAATTAAAAATTTCATTAGGCAGCCCCCACCTCCTCTTGTTAGCTAACAGAACTTGCATAGTTAGTCAAAGCTAGAGTGTAATGTGAAATCTTAAGTTAATGTGCCATACTTTCCTATAGTTATCCTCAAATGTTCTGCTCAAAGATTTTAATAAGAGTAATGTGAAACTGTAAACCAGCTGAATTCATTAGGCTGTAACAGCCATGCTGCTGTTAAGACTTCGGAGGTTGCAAGAAGACATTGTTAAAATGAAGCCTCTTCCCATCCCCACTTAGAGACCGCAAAGCACTATACGTTTCCATTCCCACCAGTCTGTTAAATGCTTGGCACTTTAGTGCAATTGGCACTCCTGTGAGACTGCACCACTGGACGGTCAGAGCATAGCAATATTTTTCAGACAACCATGGAAATATGTGAGCATGAAGAAGTTTTAGAACATAAAATTAATGTCTACTGCCTCTAGGACAGTGTTAATTGACTACAAATTCTTTGATGCAAGTTTAACCAAATTTAGAGACTTCCATAACAAACAAATCCTCAAACAGCGCATAATCAGTTTTCAATCTAAATAAAAAATTTCATTAGGCAGCCCCCACCTCCTCTTGTTAGCTAACAGAACTTGCATAGTTAGTCAAAGCTAGAGTGTAATGTGAAATCTTAAGTTAATGTGCCATACTTTCCTATAGTTATCCTCAAATGTTCTGCTCAAAGATTTTAATAAGAGTAATGTGAAACTGTAAACCAGCTGAATTCATTAGGCTGTAACAGCCATGCTGCTGTTAAGACTTCGGAGGTTGCAAGAAGACATTGTTAAAATGAAGCCTCTTCCCATCCCCACTTAGAGACCGCAAAGCACTATACGTTTCCATTCCCACCAGTCTGTTAAATGCTTGGCACTTTAGTGCAATTGGCACTCCTGTGAGACTGCACCACTGGACGGTCAGAGCATAGCAATATTTTTCAGACAACCATGGAAATATGTGAGCATGAAGAAGTTTTAGAACATAAAATTAATGTCTACTGCCTCTAGGACAGTGTTAATTGACTACAAATTCTTTGATGCAAGTTTAACCAAATTTTATTAAAAAAAACATCATTCTAGTGACTGAAACGTCAGCACCAAAAATAATTACATCACTTTGGCACCATTTTCAGCTCATTTCACAGGATTCCATGACTTCACTTGAAGCTAAAATTGTTGTTTATATGTTTTAAATAACATGAAACATGACATGTAAAACCTTCAAATGATGATAACCGGATCAGTGGTTTCAGCCATGTGGACAGGCAACCACATGCTACAGTTGCTGCAGAATTAAATTAACCAAAGCTAAGTGGCTAAAAAGGGTCAAATTACATGGTATCTGAATGAGGACTCCAAGGAAAGACTAGGAAAGATAGAAGTACTGCATTCCAACTGGCCACCCACGGTTTAAATGAGACAGTGACCTCCCAAGACAATTATTGCTCTTTTAGAGGTGCAAACTTCTTCAACCGATGGATAGAAAGGGCAAGAAAAAAATGATTCGCTATGTCAGCCTGTTGGCAAACGCGTTTAGCTGAGCTCACATTCTCCCCATAGTTACGTTAGTCACCCTGAATTTCAGTTACCACTTTTTCCCAAGTTGTGAGTTCACCCATTATACACCCTAGTAGCAATGTGGCATTTCAGTGGACAGGTGCCAGGTTGACGGTTGGTGCTTCCCAAGCATCATAGAATATTATTGAATCTGGCTGAGATTTGAGCTCAACAGAGAGTGAGAAAACACCTTCACACGTCTTTAGCTCCCTGGCAGACCTTGCGTCCTAAACCGCTACTGTGGTGTATTACAGTTAGATATCTGGATAAAATCCAAGGCCTAGATCAACTGTACCAACAGAAGCCTATTCATCCACCCTGATCCGAACCAACACATGGGAATTCCTGAACTGCACAACACAGATTATGTTTAAAGGTAATATTATCAAACACATAAAGTATTTTTATCGTATTGGCCAGAACACGCAAAGCTATTTAGTGGACAGCAGATGCGTATTTTCATTGGTTTAGCTACACAAAGACACAGTCAAGGCACACAGGAAGAGGAAATTCATGCATGCCAGTGCATCATGCATGATAAAAACAAGATGGAGCAAGGAGAGAAATGATAAGCTTGTGGACCTCATATCTGTGTACCTTTGTTTTGGAACATTCTCCTTGGCTGACGATGCACACTTTGGCCAATAAAAACAAGCAGCTGCCATTTTCTCATGGCCTTTAGCTATTGCCTCGCATTCCTGCAGTCCCAGACCACTCCGGTGAGGTTAAAGGGGTGGTTGACTGGGTTTTTTCTAGGCTTGATTGTGTTTATGGGGTGCAGTCTAACATGTGTTAATGCTTCGTTTGTTAAAAAACGCATTATTTTTCACATAATTTACCTTTATTGCTCACCGCTCTGTCCCTTCTCTGAACGGGCTGATAATTTCCTGCTTTTATGAAGCCCCTCCCTCAGAAATAGGCGATGGGCTCTGATTGATTAGCTGGCCCAGTGTGTTGTGATTGGCTAAACCGCCTCTAGCGTGCGTCTAAACGTCCCGCCCCTCAACATAGCGGCATGTGCTCCAGTTGTATTATCAGTTTGAACCTGACTGAGACGCAGAGGATATTAGTGAAGAGGATCGAGCAGAACCTGTGCAAGCACTGCTTTTAATGGTAGGCCTAAGATTTTTGTTTGTTGTTGTCTCATACTTTTAG